ATAGAGATGTTCGCCAGCGTGGTAGCGGGCACGACCTTGGCACTCTTGGATCACCTTAGGGAAAGTGTGCTATTTCTAGTGCTTGTACCTCCCTGCTATTTCATTTGACGCAAACCCGTGGTTAATTATTTAACTTTCAAACAGCCCTGAGGTGCGAGTGTTTTCGTTCGGACCGCAGGACTTGCGCTGAATGTTCACAATGGCAAATGGGTGCATTTTGTTTTCATACCTGCCACACGTGTGGTTGTGATTTACTTTCACGCCTGCAGTATTTCCTTGAGCAAGCGCCTTGCCACGTGTTCGATATCAACCGTAGAAATGCAAGAACAACAACTTCAAAACACTTAACTTGTATTCCAACACTGTATACCGGATACATTACAAGTAGTATTTTTGGATGTATATTCATAATATCCCTGAAAAGGGGATAATGAGGACGGTGCGTAAAATATGGAAGTTTTTAACTTGCATCCACATGCAAAAGAGCGTGATGCCCGCTGGAGATTTTGGGATTTCATGGTGTCAACACGTCGTCTTGTAGGGTCAAATACCTATTGCAGCCGGGGTCATGGCCGTAGATTTGTCGTGCCTTGGTAACTTGCAGCTGTGTACCAGCTTTGCTCTTGTTGGGGGGATCAGTGATCCCTTTGGGGCCTCTTGGTGATGCTGCAGGCACTTCCGATTAGCACGGTTGGCTGTGTACGGTGCGAAAGAAGTTCAACATAACGTACATCGTGTGTTCTTGGTTCGACTGCAACACAAGCAATCATCATCGGGTGATGATGATTGCTTGTGTTGCAGTCGAAACGTCGTGAGAATTTTAATTGTTTTATATTTATATTATTTTATTATTTCCCTTCTACGTGACTTTACCGAAAGAACCAAGAATGTGAATCCCTGCAGTCACGAAAGCTTTAAATAAAAATGTAATACATCGTGTGTTTTGCATGTGGTGTAAACGTTGCTGGAGAGATCATTGTAATAGCGCAATTCGTGAGATCATTGTCATGACGTATACCTTATTGCTGGGTGTTTAATTTGGCCATGACACCATGCGTACAATGACTCACATTTAGACAGCGTCATGGGATCTCGTTAACATCCAATGAATGCAGAGTCGGATGTTTTATCCATAAAAGTCTGGAAAGAGGTATGACATCCACCACTTGATCTGGGTGATCTTGACCATGTATCCAATACCTATTTTGAAATTGCGAAAAATCTAAAGCTGCAATTGCATTGGTGTGCAAGCATGTGCGTTGACCTGGAGCGCACTTGCATTTCAACTGGTGAGAGAACTTGTCCCGAGTGAACACATTGAAAGTCGGTCTTCTACTAAAAGTTTCCCCCGAGTTGGCCGAGGGAAGGCAGATCCCTCCACCCGAACCACAACCCCCTCTTCTGTTGTGCGAGGGGTTGAATGTGGACACGAGCCAAGCGTGTAGTCTGTAAGTGTAAACAAATATTCCAATAAACAAAGTGTTGGCAACTCACCGGCACCATCGGGGGCCAAAGCTGTTATCGCAAGTACGCCAGGCCCTTTCGGGGAGCGAAATAAAATACGGCCTCTTGCACACTATACAGGGTATGTGACCATAAATATAGTTCCACCCACGCCGCATCACATGCTGCCTGCTGCCTCTGTTATATCCGTTTGTGTGGGTGTGTGTGCGCATATATTTATACACGCATACATACATTTTCCATGTTTGGCCTACACAGACACACCAGTCAGCATATCAATGACGATTTTTTTTAATTTACACCTTTAGGTACAAATACTGCACACTTAAAACGCTTGTTTTAAATTGTGTGCTTAGCGTGCTTTGTCATGGGGCTTTTGGTCAGACTCGAACCTGAGGTCTTGAAATCCATTGGGGCTAGCGTGCAATGTGTTCAGCCCCCAAACATTTGCAGTAGGATAAATCTCAAAAAAGTCATCACGTGCGCTCTTTGGAAGGAATGGATGTTTTGGCCGGTCGACCATTTGACACGCAGCTTGTGTATTTTTACAACCAACCCACTCTCTGCATGACGGCTCCATTCCTGTGACATCTGCAGTCCCTTTGCAATTCCTCCACACGCACCGTGGCACATCTACTCTCTCCATGGCTGCTCATGCACGGCACCCACCCCACCCCCAACTCGCTCTGCACGGCTCGCCCAAAGCTTGAATGTAAAAAGTTCACTCCCCAAGAATAAACACACACGGCTCACGTGCTTTCCTCCTCCGAAGCTACCATGAGGATTCCTTATGTTTGTTTTTTGTTGCTGCGCCCGCCTGCAACTTACTGGCTCATGTCCAGATTTTTCAAGACTGCTATGGGTTTCAAAATGTAAACTGAAAACCAGATTTGCGATTTTAACATTCAAAATATGTATCCTTGAGTGGATGGTAATGTCACTGCTTATAGGCTGTTTGCTGGACGTCTGCTTCCTCAAATAGTTATACGACTTCACTTTCTTTTTGCATATTATTGTGTTGTATGTAAGTAAAACCTCTTAGCCCTCAATGAATTAAAACCTAAAATATTCATATCCAAACTGTGGCCACCGCTGCATTGTGTATCATTCATGTAAACACGTTTATATATTTAAAGGTGCAGCCCTGCAATTGCTTGCTCATGCCACTGCCGGCAGAGGAGCGTTGGTAGAAAGAGCTGTATTGAGTCCCTACAGAAGGTATTTGGCCTACTCCTCCATGCCATCTGTGACTCTTCACACACGTGTCTATACAGGGTGGTCCAAAAGTCAGGACACACAGGGTTATTTCATTTATTTTAACACTGGCATTAAAACATTTTAATTGTTTATTCTTTAAGTTAATGTGTTATCTTCAATTAATATGTAATTTACTTCACCTCAACGCTGGACGTACAAGATGTGATAAGGATAATTTTTGTTACGTTGGTGTTAGGACTCCACTCAAAGCGATAGGAAACAACTGGCACGCTTGCCCCATTCCATGCCATTCTTTTACGACGCCCTAATGCAACACGATGGTGAACGCGCGTGTCTCCTGTCGTAAATTACGCCCCAGGAAGCCCGTCATTATTTTTTTACGTAAACCGAACGTAGCAGTCGGCCGTTCAAAAATGAGAACGTCATGCAGTGCACGTAATTGCTGGGCTCCTCAGGTGGCCAGATGTGGCGATGAGCTCGCCTTGCTTTGGTGACCCACGGTGGCCATGATAGACGCTCGCTGACAGCACTTTTCTCGATAGCCTTCGGTGACCTTGAATGGGGATAGATAATATTTGTGGAGAACCGTCGCAATGGTTAGTGAACTCCGCTACGAATATCGCAAACTGAGGTCGATTCCTGGCCACCGCTAACAGAAGTGGCAAGCGATATCTGAACTGGTCCTGGGGCTTGCCCTAGGTCATTGCAGCCTTAAATTAAATCCTGTTATGTGTGTAAGTAAAAAAACAGCACTAAGGAAACAAAGCTGGCCAGACGTGGTGTTGTGTGGGTACACCAACCACTCGCCTTGCAGGTCTTAATTGGCCCTCGCGAACAACACCTGCCCCGTTAGTCTGTTAAAGGCCGTAACACATCTGTTTGTCGCCTGCTGTCCTGCAAAGCTGTACGTCGCTGCACAAATGCAGATGAAATTCGACCGACGCGTCTCTCTAATGATTGACGCGGTGACTAACCTCTGCCGAGGTCATTGTCGCAACGGGACAATCACGCGCTGCTTCGCCCGCACACCTTCACCGGGCGTGACGGGGGCGGTGTTGTGTTGTCGTTGAGAGCCGTTGCCAGGGCTTCTCTCACCGTGGGGCTTTACTCATCTCGCTCGCTCACTCCCACATCTGCACCTGGCGGCTTCCCTCGTTGTCGTATTTACGCCCACCTTCTGTTGAAACTGAAAAGACACCGATGTCTTTGTGTTCGTTCGTTCGGCAGCCTTGTATGACTCGTGTGTGTTTGCCTGGTGGTGGTTTGTTTATTTGTTTTCGTGTCTCGGCAAGCTGAAGCTCATGGCGAGCCTTTGGCACGAGAGCTAGAGAATGTGCTCACGTGAGTCATAGCCCAACGCATTTTAATAGCTGAATCTGCTCACGTGTGTGTTTGTAATGTGTCCATTGTATATACGTGATTTTTATGTTGTACTGAAGTGCATATTTGTAGCTCTAAGAGCGTTTTTTTTTAAAACATAACTTGCCTTATCAATTCACTTTAATAAGATGGTGACCTAGCCCGAGACCGGTAACTCACTACCCTTGAAAACTCTCATTATTCACAATTCAGTATATGTGAGTTTGTAGATCTCTATGTGAATGTATAGGTCTTGATGTGAGTGTTTAGTTGTCTATGAGGCTGTGGGGTCTGTCAGTCACTCGTTGCTTTAACTTACTTCTCCTGAGAACCCTGTTCAATCGTATGCGGCTGCCTGGATTCGAACCCAGGGTCTCAGGGGCAGCTACGACCTCTGCTTGCCATGAATGTACAACAATATCTTGCTGATTTCGTCAAGGAGCATAAACAACCCCACCAACTACGGTCACCCTAGCAGCGGCTTTTGGTTAACCATCGAACAAAGATGGTCACTGCCTTCGCGCTTTTCGATGCACTTTTGTGGTCGTCTTTTCTTCGATATCGGGAAGAAACTGGAGCTCACTTGATACTGTAATTTTGCTGTGACGGTTCCACCTGAAGACGGAAGCTTGTGTTGCCTCCGAAACGCCGTGATTTAATTTATTTATATTTTTTCCTACGTGACTTTACCTAAAAAAACCAAAGAGTATGAATCCTTGCAGTCACGAAATCTTCAAATCTGGAGCTATGCACTTTTGAATCTAGATTGAAAACTCATTCCTTTCGAACTGCTTTTTGTGTTTAGTTCGTTTTTCTTCCCCCGCACCTCAGATTAGCATGGTTGGCTACGTACGGTGCGAAAGAAGATCAACATACGTACATACATACCCAGCCACCTCATGCTTGCACCACATTGTTAACAGCGCGTGCTCTTCGTGTCTTTGTTTTGTGTGCTGCAGAAGAGCGAAGAGTCGCCGAGAGGCTTGGGCAGGTGCCGCTCAAACGGCGGGAGCTTGGGGAGCCTCAACTCCAATTCCTCCTCCTCGCAGACTCCGTCTGGCGGGGATGCTCAGCCCAAGTACCAGGTAGGGCTGGGGCATGTTTGGGATAAAAACAACTTATGGTTAGGTGAACTATGGGTAGCCCGCGTTGAGCTAGCCTAAGGCCAGCTGCTCTAGATTGGGTCAGGTTTGGATCAGGTGGGGCTAGGATTAAACCAGCTTTGGCTGAATTGTATGTGGTGAGGCCAAATCCAGGCTGGGCTGGATTGTGGCAAGTCACGCTTTTACAGGTTGGTCTGACAAAGCCCTGTCTGAGCGAACTGTAATTGATAATTGTTTTTTTTACCCTTCTATCTGGCAACAAAGCTGACACCAAAAAAAGGTGTCAGTTTTGTTGCCAAATAGAAGGGTAAAAAAACAATTATCATATTTTTTTTACTGGCAAATGAGGTTCCAATGGCGAACTGTAATTTTTTATTAAATAGTTCCACTTGTCCACAATTACCTTTGCGTTAATAATCGCGTTGATGTCATGCAATGCTTCAATGGCTATGGTTGCAGAATCCACTGTTGTCATTGGGCAACTATAATTCAATGTCATACAATCGGACACTGTTGTTTTATGTCGATACGAAGCGTATGCGCTCCTAAAGTTTTCCCGGCCTGTGCTTCAGGCCCATTCGGTGAGGTTCTAACCAAACTCCTGAAGGACCGATTTCCATGTAGACAACTTCTTAGATAACACTTTCCATGTGGTAACCCAATCTTGTGTCGGGCAGGATAGAAATCAAACACGTTGTCCTCATCCCAGTGTGACCCCTGGCTAAATTTAACAAAGCCTCTCTTTGTGGCAGAGCGTGCCCACAAATTTGTATGCCTGCCCTCATTCCCGTGCCATCTAGTCTAAGGTCATCAGGCTCGGAGAATGAAAACAGAAGCTCGAATCATCTTCTGAAATGAACACATGAGCCGAGGGCAGGAATGTGCCCTGGTTGGCAGTAACTCGATACAGACTTTTATCACAATTCTTTTGGGTTGAAGTTGCGATATTGAAAGTGAAGTAAACATGCTCAACGCTTGAAAAGTGGCTATTATTAGTTTCCTAATTTTGGCAACCGAAGCAATTGTCGGTTCAGGATGACAGACTGGGCAAACCTGGCGCTTAGGTGAATGTATCGGACTTTAAAAGTCTCACGCGTCACTTGCATGTGCTTATTATTTTCTTTTTATTATTTTATAATTTTCCTTCTACGTGACTTTACCGAAAGAACTAAGAATATGAATCCCTGCAGTCACGAAAGCTTTAAATCGAAATTTGCATGTGCTTGTTTACGTTTTTCCCTCGCTAACAAGTCGTTTAATTGTCGTATTGTAGATCTATTGTGCCACGTAAGATCATGGATGTCTTTATTGTTATTAAATGTGTCTGTCTCGTGTGTTTTGTTTCTGTATTCATTCTATCAGCTTAGAAGATGTGTTAACTTATATTTGCATAACTGATATGCGATTATTTGGAGCGTAAGATTTTATTTAAAACCCAAAATACAGATGTTTCGTGTGGACATTTTTTCATTTTAAAGGGATGGATATACATGTGCCTATGACGAATCAGCCTGTGCCCAATCTCTCCAGCCCTCAAGCTAAGCAAGGATTGACCCAGGAATAGGGCTTTGATGGGTGACCGCTATTCACAACAGGTGTTATTGGCTGCTCTAGAGCTCCATGTTAAGCAGCAGGATGGAGTGAAACACAATGTATTCTTGTACTGTGCTTCTATGCTCCCACATCTTATGCTGCCCCCTCCTTCAACCAGCACTGATGAGCAGAGTGAAGTATGGTAAAATATCCCCCACAACCCGCACGGTGTGACGAGGCCCTCATCCAGCAGTGGATTGACAAACGTCGTTATTGTGTCTTGCATACAGTAAAACCTTGCATTGCGAGTAACTTGGTCTGTGAGTGTTTTGCAAGACGAGCAAAAATGTTAAATAAATATTAATTTGATAAACGAGCGAGGTCTTGCAATACGAGTAGTACGTGTATACGCTTTGTCTGCCGAGCGTCACGTGATCACAATTGATGTACGAGTGCTTTGTATTACAAACATGATTCCGGAACGAATTATGCTCGCAATCCAAGGCTTTACTGTATATTAATTTGACGGTTGTATAATTGCGTATTTTAATGTTATTTTGTGCGCGTGCGTTTCTACCTTTCTCTCTTCCCTGCACCAGTATGTGCGCATGGGCCCCGACGTGAAGATGCTCGGAGAGATGATGTTCGGCTCCGTGGCCATGAGCTACAAGGGATCGACGCTGAAGATCCACCACATGCGGTGAGCACGGAGAGACAACGGTGTCCGGGCATGGTGTATCTCCACACCACCCAGTAGTGCGCCGTTCCGGCCTTAACCCTTTCTCGTTCCGGTTATGTACGTGTACATGATGTACGTGTACATAATCAGAATGTAATCGGGAAAAAAACTAAATAAAATTTCTTTTTTGGCACCAAGGCTGCCACAAGGGCCATGCGGGAGGGCATGTGCCAGCTATCATAGAGTGCGGTCGTGTCACTACAGTTCTTTGCGGAGAGTAAAATGTCTTTAAAAACGGCGCTATGCTTTTCTAACTAAAAATTAACGCTGAACGGCTTACGCGTTCCGAGGTTCGGTGGTATACAGGACCCACCCTGCAACTTGCAGACGTCTTGGAATGGGAAAGGGTAAATCGCATGTCTGTAAAGCTAAACGGGAAATCTTTGTGCGTGTGTGTCGTTGCAGGAGTCCTCCCCAGATCATGCTGAGTAAGGTGTTCACGGTGAACATGGGAGGCACGGGCAGCCTCAGTGGCAGCAGCAGCAGCCTGTGAGTATCTGTGCCACCTCGCTCGCATAAGCTAACCCACACGTCTCCACGCACGGCCTCGGCTGTTCATCTCCACTTGGCGAGCACAGTATTTCTAGATGTCTCGCGGGTTTTTTTTCTTTTCACTTGGAGACATTAAGACAGCTGTCTTATCCACTAATAGATCTTAAAGATTCCCGTGATATTTCTCAAGAGTAGACCTTCATGTTGGGAATTCTCTAGCCAAGGTTACACACCTGTTGCATCCATAATTGGTGGGTATATATACAGCTATCATTGCTATATGTATATTTCACGGATCTATTTCTAATTGGTGGGTATGCATTTTTCCGTGAATTCTCAGCATAGTTGCCTGCAATACGTAATACCGTACATACGTAATAGATACGCCTGTTGCCTCTGTCGATTTCAGTACGCCGTCCAGCTTATGTAAACAGCGCATAAGCTAACAGGCGTGCAGTGAAAGGCCGCTTAGGTTGAGTGTTCTGTCAGCCTCGGAAAAGATGCGTTATTAAAAGATTTGTGGTAGCTATGCACGCGGTGACATGCGATGCTGTTCGTTTGCAGGCTGACTGACAGCTTCGAGTACACCCACGCGGGACTTACCTCCTCCCGCTCCTTCCCAGTGCTGAACTCCAGTGCCGTCATACGGGAAAAAACCCGAGGTACGCACGCACGCACGCCCCGTGCACGTGCACACAAATCCACGCTCGCGGGCGGCCCATATGGAGCAGGCGAGCACCTGGTCACAACGCGTAGAATTTTTCTTCTAGGCACCGACCTCGGCTGTGAATTGTGGGCTCTCCAACGCGGGCGAGGAAAAGGGTGTTGAAGTTACTTTCATGGGCACTGCCCTAGCGCCCTCCAGTGATGGCACTTGCAGTGACATCGTGATGAAAATCTCCTCCGTAGTTGCTGCTGTGATGTTCACTGAAGTGCGATTAAGTGGGGTTTGTGAACGTGATCATGAAATGTGGTTTCTTGTCGCAGCTTCACTCGTAAGTCCAAATCGTAGGAAAATATTGCCTTTGTGCCTAACGACGAGAGATGTTTGTTTTTTGGGGTTGCATCTGTCTATATGCTGCCACAGGCCTTGCTATCTCGACGAACCAGCTGTGTTCTTAATAACTTGTGTAAGCAATGCGGTTTCGTTTAATATTAAATTAAGTGTTTATTCAGGAGCGAGTAACTACATTTATTGAGATGCATGTGGTTTATATTATGCGAGTGCACACTGTTTGACGTGGCACAGCAGGTTGATGATAACTTTTACAAGAGTTTGCGTTGGCACACGCAACCGGGAAAACAAATGGCAACCAACACGAAAGACAAAGGAATATTTTGGGCAAATTTATTTATTTATTACTTCGTGGCTCATATTGGTCTCTTTCAAGTGTCCCACCACTCAAGCGGCATATGTAAGACGGGTAATGATTGGAATGCCATTACATGCATTGCCAACAATTCACTCATCCATGAGGCACACTGACTGCAGCTCAGGGAACAGCTTTTGATGTTTATTGTAAGCTCGGAAAGGTGCACACATTTACAATGATTAAATCTGAGTGCTGTGTGACAATTGTTTTTCATTAACATGTTTTCTGTTTCCAGGTTTTGATAGCACATCATTTTCACAAGACAGGTTTATGTGTTAGTTTACACTCGGTATATTTGTGCTATCTCAAGACTCTACTATATTTGTGCGCCGTTCTTTTGCCTCCATTGTCTCCTGTTTGTCTCTAATTTCCCATTTCAATTAGCGTCTAACGTAAGTGCGTTCTGTCGTCTGTCCGTCGGCTATATTTGTCTCATTTACTCCGTCTTGAGTGTTGCGTGCACTCTTCACCTTCCGCTGAACCCCTTCTCTAACCATTGGGTCCCATCTCCTTTCCTCCAGTAGGACTCCTCTCCTTGTGCTGCCGTAGGCAGGCTGGTTCAATGCAAGGGCTGGACGCTATGCCGTTCGGCTTAGTGCGGAGTGCCTCTTTCTTCGCAGGTTTGTCTGTCGTGATGTCCACCTGTTAGTTTGCATCCTGCTGCATTTAAAAAAAAACTAACACCACCCCCCCCCCCCATCCTTGATCATGCTTCCCTCTTCTGTTTTTTTGAGTGGCATATCAATAAATTATAATCAGGAAGAGAGCAGCAAGGTCTATTTTTGGATGTGCGACTTCTATTTACAAGGGGCAATCATTAGGCCGGGTTTATCAAGGCAGCTTGCATCGCAGGGTGGAGTGGTCTCTGTTGTCCGAGGGCTCTGTTATGAGCATGTATATGCCACGATTTCCCCAACCTATTCCTTTCACCCAATTATAGTGTCATAGGTTGTAACCTCTTTCATTTACACAACTTTTGGGGTAAGTCCCATGATCAGTAAATATCTGGGTATGATTAGTTACAATTAGACAGAATTGACTGTACATCTTAATTGATGCTTGCTGCTCTAAAAATTGGATGCGACAATCTGAGCCGAGCACCAAACATTATTTGGAATTTAACCTTTTCTGCTGCGGATGCCTACGTGTCACGGCTCTGCTGACTTTTTTTTCTCCCTCCCCATATTGACCTCATAGTAAGTGGCAAATGTGGGGCAATTCGGTTACACAACTGCCGATTGTGTAAAAGAGGGGCCCAGGCTACAGTGACCCCTTTAATTTCAATTTTTTCCGCACGCCAGGAGCACGAAACAGTCTCTCTCAGTGCAAGCGGGAGCCTTGTCATGTCCCAATGACCATTATGCCCCTATAGGGCCCTTTGTCCGAATGAATCACCAGTCAAATCAATTGGTAGACATTTCAAAAATGTAAGTGGTCATCATGGAATTGTGAGCATTCATTTTACGGCTTCCCAGTGTCCGCTTTATGGCGATTGGCTGACTTGAGTACTTAATGCAAATTGGTATTTATGTACATGGGCATATTTTCATGCTGCACTCATTCCTGTACTTGTGCATTTTAAATAAGCACAAATAAGCACCATTTAGATTTGGAAGTCCTCTTTGTTGGTAAACATTCACTCAACCTCCACACATGACCAATCCTATCGTTGCCACTGTTGATTGCTCTATTTAAACACATTTACATGAGTAGCCGATATTCTTAGGTGTTTTCGGTAGCCGATCTCAATATAAATCGCCAGTATTTTCACATTTATTCTCAATAATTAGGTTTTTTGAGTAATTGTTTCTACCGGAGTGTACGATGACACATAGGCAGGATCGTTCACTCCACTCCCTCTGAGTTCCATTGTGCTAACAACCACAGCGCTTACTAATGTTTTTGATGTATCTGATTAACTTCCACTGCTCTGCCTAAAACCCAAGGGCCTCTTGCCCCCCTCACCCTGGTGTCGAACTTGCACTGAGGTGGCGTGTCGGTCTCACCGTTTGTCTCAGACTGGGTTTTGTTTGTGCGATCACCGGAAAGTTGTGCCACTGGACACCTAACTGAGCACTTTACATCTTGGTGGGGAAATGAGGCTGAATTGGTGAAGCGGAATATGATTTTAATGGCTTTTTACAATTCTTGAACAAAGTAACAGCAATAATATGTTTTCGTAGATGAAATCTGCTGTCTGTACGTTTAACCCCTCAGATGTCCTTTTGTATGAAATCATTCTGCGTATTTGGTGTGCTGTTGATTGTGGTGATAATGGTTGACGTAACACAGGATTTGTGTGAATCAACTCGGGTTTGTGTACGTGCACCGATTTAGTAATGAATGCCGCTGTCTAGAGCAACTGTCTGATATGTGCACAGGGGGAGAAAAGTACAAGACAATTAAAGAGACGCTGAAAATACTCCTGGCAATATAAACATTTGGCTGAAATAATGACAAACATAAATGCTCACATTTTCAGCGTCTGTTTGAAATTGTCTTGATTTTTTGCCAGACGTTGAAGTGCTAATGAAGCAGTTTGTTCCAAATAATTTGACAGCGTTGTATGCATACGATGGCTTGGCTGGTTATTGAAAGCTGCGCTCTGATCCATCCTATCTTAACAGACAAGTCCTGCCCTTTTACAATGTGGAATTTGACAGCATCATGGATGGGTGGTTTACTGATGGGGAGAGTCAGTCTAGGGTAGATAAGGTTATGGGTGTCTGCTCTAAAATTTTTAAATGTCTCCTTAATCTTGATTTGAAGCTTTCGTGACTGCAGGAATCCGTACTCTTTGGTTCTTTCGGTACGTGACTTTACCGAAAGAACCAAAGAGAATGTATCCTTAGCCGTTATCACGTGTAACAAATCCAGCCGTGCGTGAGAGAGATATTAGACAATGCTGTCAACTTATCTGGAACTTTGAGCTGTAGAGAGCTTTGTTTGATAGATGTTAAACAGCCGTCTTGTAACTTGCCAGATAACTGTTATCGAGGTGACGATGATTTTTACGTGAGATATAGTCCATGTGTTGACCATATATTACCATATGGACACGAAAGCTGTCATGACAACCTACACTATCCCAAGGTAGTGTTTGATAACGTAAAAATGGATGTGTATTTATCCATTTGGAACTAAGTCATTTTCAGGAGATGTAGCTCTTTGGCTCTTTAAATAATTGTTTTGTTGGGATTATGGTGGTTTATTGCGATACTAGTGCTGCTCAAGCAGTAAATTCACAGCTGGGAATGACGATTTCTATTGACAAGTCCTAAGAAATCTAGTTTATGCAAACTTCAGGCTGTCCATTAAAAGCCTGAAATCCAAAACTGAGCTCGTGTGCAAAGTAAAATTTTAAGTCACAACTTTGTGCCAAGAAAAGTGAGTTGCAATTCGACGTAATTGGCACCAATCACGTCAAGGCGATTGGGGCGTGCTGAGGAGGGAATTGCGGTGTTGGCTCGTTCTTGATGGTCCCCCCGCACCGTCCCAATACTCCCGATTGTGCCGTGCAGCGTACAGCTCTCCTCTCGACATGCCGAGCCGCGGCAAGAACGAGGACAGTGACAGTGGCATCGCCCGCTCTGGTGAGTTTCAAGAAGGGGAACCACAATCCCTCGGGGTATTTTTTGTGTACTTATTTTTTCCGCAATTGATGTCTCGTAACATCTCTCGATATGAGCGGTGTCACCCTGATCAAATTCAGCAAAAGTAAAAATGCCCCAACATAGGACACAGAGATTAGGTATTTCTAAATGGTATTTATAAATGAGACGATGTTGTGGGCAGCAGTGGGCAATGCAGCTAAATAAATAGTTTTTTATACTGCACTATGCTCCGAAATAAACCTCCGTGACCCACACGGCCGTGGGGAGACCCGCATCCAGCTGTGGATTGAGAAGAGGGTTACAAAATGTACAAATAAAATTTCCCGAATACTATTAACGAATTGTTTAATGTAAGAAAATTTCGAAAAATGTGAATTTTAACACGTCATCATATTTGTTTACTTGTAGCACAAAAGGCTAAATAAGAAAATAATGAGCTCTATTTTTTTTATAGATATAAGAAATTGCAAGCTATTACAAGCTAATCTTCACAGCTTCTCGCAGCTATTGTCCAATTCCCGGGCGGCGCTTGAAGCGACTGGCAATAACTCCCTGCCGCTTGGCTAATGACCGACACTTCCTCGATTTTATAGAAACAAAAAAACAACTGTTGCGTGTCTTGTGCCCGCAGCGTCTCTCACCAGCCTCCTGCTAGCAGCCATGCCGTCTCCCAGCTCCTCCCTGCCCACTGGCGGCAGCTCCAACAGCCTGAGCCGGCGATTCCAGCGCAGCCAGAACACCAGCCTGGACCACGGCGTCTTCCCGCGCCGGTGACGCCCGCAATAAGAATAATAGTCGTCGAGAATTTGTATTATAGTTCGGTATTCGTGCCGGGCGTATAGTGCAAGGCTATCACAGATGCGCGACGTTTCACGAATAAGTATAGTATGCCTGCAAGGGGTGATGTAGATACGTGGGTTTACTCAATTGAGAAATGTCTCCGTTGCTTTTCGAATTTGTACAATGATGCGGCACGCTAGGCCGACTTATGTCACGGGATATTTAACATCCACATAGAAGCAGTATTTATGGTTAATATACCCTGTAGTGTATTGATCAGCCTACCTAAAAACCCTTGCTTGTTATACAAGCTCGTTACTCGGCCTAAGGGTCCTCTACACAGACTCAAATTCTCTTGTTCAGTCTCATCTGTGCCTGCTCAGTTTAAAAACTCTCCGACACTGCCCAAGGTGTGGGGGGGCCATATTTCACTTCATCTCCTATCTATCTACGCACTGGTTGCTCTTCACAAGTGCCACGTCTCCCTTCGCCATCGGAGACTCATTGACGCTTCTTCCCCCTCCCTGGTCTCGCCTAGGTCTGGTGAGGAAGGCTTCAGCTTGGCGGAAGGCTGCTGCAGCTCCAACCCGTCGTCCGTGCGGCGCAGGAAAATCGCCATCGGCATCATCTTCTGCCTGTCGCCGTGCGCCGAGGAGGAGGAGGCGCGCTTCCAGGAGTGCTTTTTCTCTCACTTCCCCCTCTTCGAGAGTCACATGGACCGACTCAAGACGGCCATAGAGCAGGTGACGACGATCCCCTGTGCGAGGTCACATGTGGTTCCATTGCTCTCCCATTCATTTATTAATCTAACTTAAGACATTGTCTCGTGATAATGTAGCTATTACTGCATGCTCGGCTTGTGAATCTTCATCTTCATTCACACGCTACCACTATTTTAACTAAATACTTTTATTTTACCAGGTAAGGCGCATTGAGCTATATAGCTCTTCTTCAGAAGTGACCTGGTCACATGATAGCTTAACGAAGTGGCTCATCACATTGGAAATTTATAGCAGCCAAATACTGTAAACATGTGTTTCCAAACTCGGCAGTGATGCCATCTGGGCTCATAGTGCAGTGCGCGAGCCAACTACACTTTACTACCATTAGCTTGGACCACAAGCAATTGATTCCAACATGCAGGATTTGAAGCAGGTATCGTGCGCGTAAAAAACTACTTTAATCGACAAGTCAAATCATAGTCACATGCCCAATAAATTTTACACACGCGCAGTACAAGTCAGCAGGAAGACATGGCAACACACGCGACCCAAACTTAGTTGAGCCCCCTGCCCATCCACTCAGAGCCTGACACAAGTACTGACATGGCCGTTCTACGCGTCTTGTTTCACCACAGCCTTTTTTCAGTACACTGCTGAATGAGGGTCTGCCCCACACTGTTTGGGCATGGGGGTTGTTTGACCGTAACCAAGCCGAGAGCTTTTCTACTCAAATATAATTTATTTTGTGTCTTGTTTTCTGTAGGCGATGATTACCTGCAGGAAGATCCAGGACCCAATGCAGAGATCCCAGGTGTACGTGCAAAGAATCATGGATGCTCTGAGCCGCTTCAGGTGATTCACGCCGGGGTCACTTCGGCCAACCACTTGGTTGACAGCCCCTATCATAAGACCATGACCAAATCGAGGAGAAGGTTTGGGAAGCTAAGCAGGCCTTGAGCCTGCTTTGATGGGTGACCACCGTGCTTGTCACTAAGTTGGGTAGCAGAGGTCAGTGCAAGAAAAACATCTGTGGGAACTTATTTTTTTGTCAGTATCAAAACAATGAAATAAGAAGAATAGGCTTTACCCTTAGTGGCAGTAACAGATGTTAAGATGTTCAAACACCAAATAGACGCCTGTTGCAAGGTATCAAGTCTGCATTAATCACCCATCCTTGTGGCAAAAATGCAAAGAAACATGCTCTAATAATATTTGCATTGTCTTTGAAACTGATTGGCCTACGCCAGAGACGGGCTCGCATCCAGCAATGAACAAACAAAGGGCTGTACACACAGTCCACGCATCGTAATTTATCTATATAAATAATAGCACAATAGTGGAGCTGAGTATAAATAGCCTAAGAATGAGCATACATCCACATGCTAAATAAGGACATCACCCTGTGCTGTATAGCAGGGGTCCCCTGTTATGAACCGAGCCGCACAGCAGGAGGTGAGCGGTGAGTCCGCGCATGGCCCGCCCAATATTTTATTTACCACTTTCATCTGGCCCTCTTTCCCGCACTGCGCACTTGTCTCAGTCACAGTTTTGGTAAGCCCACAAGCTGCTAACCCCTAGCCACAATGAGTAAAAAACAAACGTCGCTGGAGAGCTTCTTTGAAAGGAGGGAAAGACCCAATGATGAACACCCCCCCCCCCGGTCCGTGAAAAAATTGTCTTCCACGAAACCTGTCCCTGATGCCAAAAAGGTTGAGGACCGCCGCTGTATATATATGCACTCCTTGCTGATGGGATAGATGCTGCCCATGTAGTGCATAGCACAGCAGCTCAGCAATGTTGCGTCGTGACTTACTGTGGATGCTCGTGCCACGGCATTTTCCACCCTCTCTGCCACCCCCATAACCACCTCCCACCACCGCGCCTCCAGGATGGCGGTGAGCGATCTCTACACGCTGCCCCGCATCCCAGAGCCCGTGTGGCTCACCATGACGCTGCCCACATCCGACAAGCCGCAGCTGTGTCGCCGATTCATGCGCGAACTGGCCGCCCTCTCTGAGCAAGCCAGCAAGAACCAGTACGTGACGACACGCGTGTGCAGATACAGTGAGAGCACGTCCAGGCGTGACGGAGGATGTATATCTGTATGTATGTTGAACTTCTTTCGCACCGTACGTGGCCAACCGTACCGATCGGATGTGTGGGGGAAGGACAACAGACTACACACAAGAAGCCAATCTTATTTGACAGACAACTACTACAGGTTTACCATGTTCAGTTGTTTTCTCCTTGTCACAGGTTGAGTCACAAACCGTACCTCTCCATAACAAAGGCTCACCCTCTTAAGCCTCACCTTACCATATGAATAAAAAGGGTGCTGTACTTGGCCCTTCCCCCTTCTCCAACCATTATATAAACGGAGTGGTAGCTCCTGCAATCTCTCATTTACTTGATACAGCTGTCGTGGCTGTGACGGTTCCACCTGAAGACGGAAGCTTGTGTTGCCTCCGAAACGTCGTGATTTTTATTTTATTTTACTTTTATTAATTTTAATGTTTTACCTACGTGACTTTACCGAAAAAACCTAAGAATAAGAATACACAAGAAGCTGTTCTAAAAAAAGGATGGTCCTTGCACGCTACCGCTTGCTTTCATGTAAACTGTGCAGTATACGAAGGAGCTGTTATCTTTTCTAGCGCTGTAACTTGCGTGATTGTTAGTGGTTTGTGTACTATAAGAACATGATTCACGTGTTGGCAGATGTTGCTTTTAGTTTAATTGTAGTCGTAAACATGCCTCTTGTCTACAATACAAATGTGGCCAATGGCCAAGACCGTATGTTTCCACTACTCTGTCAAGGTCTGAAGCTTGGCCCTGTTGTGTGTAAATACTCGGCTTTAAACAATGCATCACCCCATGGATTAAAATCGATGCTTACACTTATTCATCAAAAATGCATTTAATATAAACATTTAATTCTACCACACTAACAAAAATACTTTTTAGACCCAACCCACTAAAAATGTGTACAATGTATCAAGGTTGCATCCAAGGATCAATGTTAAATATCCTCGAGGAGTTTACAGACATCTGGATTTCGAACCCCCTGCCTAAACACGCACAACCAAGCACAAAGAATCACGGAATCCGGCGCTGCGCATATACATCTCATGTTGACCAAACGACCCCCGTCACACCATCTCTCTCCACGAGTGTGGTGTATGTGGCGCATACACCACACGCACAGATCACGAGTGTAGCGGTTAGCGCGCCGCTGCGCTACGATCCTGGCAGCCCGAGTGCGATTCTCACTCGGGGCCAACACCAGTGACGAATATCTGAACCGGTCCTGGGCCTCCCCTAGGTTGAGTCAGCCTCAAATGAGTGCCTGGTGTCGTGTGTAAACATCGGCACTGGGGAAACAAAGGCGGTCAGTTGTGGTGTTTGCCACCCACCCGCCTCGTGTGCCGTGTCGGCCTTCATCGGTGCTACTCACTTTCCCCACGAGTCTTTAAAGGCTATAATGGGTGGTGGGGATCTTTGTCTTTGGTGTACACACAGGTTCTTGCCAGCGCTGCTGTCGGCCGTGCTGACGCACCACCTGGCGTGGGTGCCCACGGTGATCCCCAGCGGGCACCCTCCACTGCACACGTTCGCGCAGAAGCACTCGTCCACGAGCCTGGACATGCTGGCGCGATCGCACCCCTACAACCCGCTGTGGGCGCAGCTCGGTGAGGCCGCACTGCCGGCTTCGGTCATCGCGCGATCACAAACGGGGCCGCAAACCAAACGCGTACAGTGGCATCCTGCATTCTTACTCTTAGCTCTTTCGGTAAAGCAGTCACGTAGGTAAAAAATGAAATTAAAATTAATAAAAAATAAAAACAATAAAATCAGGACGTTTCGGAGGCAACACAAGCTTCCGTCTTCAGGTGAAACTGTCACAGCAAAAAATCTGTTGCCTCCGAAACGTCGTGATTTTATTGTTTTTATTTTTTATTAATTTTAATTTAATTTTTTACCTACGTGACTTTACCGAAAGAACTAAGAGTATGAATCCTTGCAGTCACGAAAGCTTCAAATCTAGAATCCTGCATTCTTGTAGCTCGTGTGCAGGAGAGTGCAATCGCACCAAGGCTCATGGGCCCGGGGTGGAGGGGGTCCCTATACACCAAGGCTCGTAGAATAAAATAAACAAGGAATGAAATAAAAATGCCATATGTACAAGTTGATATGTTTTTTAATAGCGATGTGCACGTTTCCACATGAATGTGTGTTAAACTCTTTTGTAGCTTGGTCCTTTGTACATTTTGATGCTATTCTCAGCATAGAAAGCTGCAATGGTTGATTGGTTGAAATAGATTTAACCCTTGAGCTACACCCATTTCAAACCTTTTAAAACAGTCTGCCTCAGCAGCAGACCAGGCTTTCCCACCTGATGACGGACGCTTGTGTTGCGTCCAAAACGTCGTGATCTATTTTATTTTCTACCTACGTGATTTTACCGAAAGAACCAAAGAGTATGGATTCCTGCAGTCACGAAAGCCTCAAATCAAGATTGAAATAGATTTGTACGTTTACGGTGAAGGTTTTTTGTTTCTTAGATTTCTACATGAACTACAAGGAAAACAACATTGAATTGAATCATAACTGTGGTTACTGAATGATATCGTTACAGTTCATTACATCGTGGAGGGGGGGGTGAATTGTTGCATCCTTGCCACGTGCGATAGAAATGTTAAACTATACGTACACATCTTCATTCAATGAAGCTATAGGATTAATGAATCATTGAATTAAATCTTAAACTCCCGAAGATTCCCACCCCACCCCGCAGAAGTGCGTGGCGAAGTGCGTGGCGAAAGCTGGACAGCACCTAAAAAACGTTCCGTTCCCCTTCCCCCCTCTCCCCACGTGTGTGATCAGGCGATCTGTACGGTGCGCTGGGTAGCCCCGTGAAGCTGACGCGCACGGTGGTGGTGGGCCGCTGCGAGGAGCTGGTGCAGCGCCTGCTCTACGTGCTCACCTACTTCGTGCGCTGCTCCGAGATCCAGGAGAGCCTCCTCGAGTGGGAGGGCGGCGGCACCGCCTGCATCACCACCAGCCTAGAGCGGGGGGAGGTGGAGGACTCTGAGTACGTCGTCGTCACGCTGCAGCCCTCCTCCTCCTCATCGCGGTCCTCCGCTCCCGCCGGCGCCGCTTCCCTTTCCGCCGCTCCTGCTGCCGCGACCAAGAAACCTTCGTCTAAGACGTCTGGAGCCGACGGGGCAGCGTCACCATCCGCTGGCACTGAGGAGAGAACTTTTCCAGACACCGGTTGCCCAAGCGGCGACGTGGACAGCTGCAGCTTTGAACTCGGCGCTGCGGTGGATGCCGAGGAGGCCCCCAGCGTTGCCGCCACCGCTGCCGCCCCTGTATCACCCGAGCCGCCGCCGCAGCAGCAGCCGGCGTCTCCGGGCAGCGCAAGCGGCGCGGGCGCCGTGCAGCTGTGCCGCGACGTCGGGGACGTCCGCATAGACACGCGTCGTGAGGTTCTGATGTGCGTGACTCGCTCGGCCTCCGGGGAGCTGATTCTTCCCGCCAAGGAGATGGCGGAGGCGGAACTTGAGCGATTCGGCTTCACCGTGCCGCAGGGCGAGAAGGGCGAGGAGCGCTTAGAGTCGGCGTTGCGGCGCACGTCCTGCTCCGACAAGCTGCACACGGACGCCATCGCCTTCCCAGCCGGCGTCAGCCCGCAGGGCAGTCGCAAGGTCAAGTTTCTCATCGGCTGTTCCTTCTCGCCGGACTCGGACACGGAGGCACGCGGCAAGCAGTTCTCCAAAACCTTCAGGACGTTTGAGGGTGACGGGCGTGCCCCGAGCCCGCGCGGGACTCCGGTTTCTGAGCCCAAGCCGGCACCTCGGACTCAGCTGGCGGCTCCGAGTCAAGCGGAGCGTGCGGAGGTGAAGCCGGGCCGGCCGCTCGGCCCCCCCAAGGGCCGCGCCCTGCGCAGGCTGCCGTCCTGCGGGAGCAGCAGCAGCAGCAGCAGCCTCTTCGATGAATACTTCGACGAAAAGAACGTGATCGAGACCAAAACCATCGACGACATCCCCGCCGAGATGCGCTTCCGGAGTAGTGGGCGCCCGGCGCTTTCTTCTCCGGTCGCCATGGCGCGGGCGGGAAGCCCCACAGAAGGCGCTGGTGAAATCTCAGCCCTCTCCACGAAGCAAAACATCCTCGAAGAGGAGGAGGAGGAGAAAGAGGAGGAAGAAGATGAGGAATGCGAAGTGGAGGCGGTTCGTCCTGCCTCCGTTGGCGGGTCCGTTGGCGGGTCGTCACGCCAGGACGCTGCGCGCGTCCGGCGCCCGTCGGTGTTCACCATTGGGAGCCCCCAGCTCTCGGACTGCTGCGTGCCGGACTCGGTGGCAAACGGCCGCGCCATCGCCGGGCAACCTGGCCGCAAGGGCAAGAAGAAGGCGGCGGCATTCCGCGAGGAGGGGGACATCCCACGCAACGAGAGCTCGGACAGCGCACTGGGCGACAGCGACAGCGAGGAGGGCTGCCCGGAGCCGCGCCGTCTCCGCACCTGCCCGGAGGAGGTGGAGCTCCCCATGCCCAGGTTGGCACTCGCAGCCATCGCACCGGGCCAACGCCAGCAGACACCCATGCCCACGAGCAAGACTCTTTTTCAATTGTGTTTAAATTGGAGATAATGGTCGTGTGTACGTACGTTGAACTTCTTTCACATTGTACGTGGCCAACTGTGCTTATCGAAGTTTAAACAAAATAGAGATGAAACTAAATACATTCTAACCATTCTCAATCCACTCGGAGGCTGAAGGCTTCCACACTCTGTTTCAATAAATGGGGACATTCTGACCATACTTCACCATGCTGGTCAGTGTGTGTTAGTGGGGTTGTAGGAGGAAGGGAACAGTTCTTATTTAACTTGCTGCTGATGTAATCCGTGGCCAGGGAACAAACTGGGGGTCGCCAGGTTCTTAGCACAGCATGGCCAGTGAGCATAACCCCCACGAGCACGTTTGGTCTATTCTCGGCAAAGATATTTCTCCTTGGCCCTTGGAAATAATTAAAGCTTTCCATTGGACGTGATTACCGTGTCGACACGTAACACGGGTGGGGGGGCAACGAGGCTCCGCTAAACAGCCGCTCATGTGGTGCGTTCGGGGTGCCATTTTCAGATCGGACTTGGTGGAGGTGGCCCCGTGCGGACGCGGCATGAGCAACTATGGGCGCTCGCTGGTCGGCGGCTACTGCCCGCGCTACGTGCCCGACCTCGTGCTGCACGGCATCCCCGGGGACGAGGGCCTGCGGGACCGCATCGCCGACGACCTGGCGCACACCGCACAGGTGAGCGCGCGCGGGTTGAACGCACGGCACGGGGAACAGCGGAATGGCACGTGGTGTGACGATGGAACGGTGCGCGAGCGATAGCGTGCCACGCACGTAGGTGGGCGGTATGCTTCTTACAGCTGGCGGTTGCCACGCGGAAGGAACATGGGCAAGCTGCACACTAAGACAGATGATACAATTGCCACACCTGATCAAATACTTGCTGTGTTGTTGTCACATACTGAACGGGCACACGAGCTGTGTAATTTTACACTCAAATGTCAAATGGATCCCCTTCGAAGCACTAACAGTTTTTAAGTAGGATATCAATAAGGGCCTTTGAGTCTGAGATCCATGGTTTGTCTGAAAATGTACCACCTTCTAAGGCCCTGGAATTCTGCAAAATGCATGGAAGCACCAAGACCCACTTATAGACCGATGGCCAATGGAAATCCCCTTTTTCAAACGCAGTACTCAAGATGTTTAATGCAACTGTCCACGTGTCCAGACCGAGCGGTGCACATGGCACTGTGGTCTCGTGCTTTCTGTCCATAATCCCCTTTTTCTCCCCGCATGCGATGCAGCACCCGGTGTTGGACGAGCCAATAGCCGAGGCCGTTTGCATCTTGGCCGACACGGAGCGCTGGTCGGTACAGCTCCTCTCCAGCTCGCAGCAGCCGCGACGCAGTGGCGGCGGAGTGGGATCGACCAACGAGGGGGGCCGCCCCCCCACGGAAGCGCTCGTGTCGAGCCTAGTTGCGCAGATCCTGAGCTCCACGCTGCAGCTGTGGCGCTTGCACATGCCGGCCGACTTCGTGAGTGCCGCATCGTCCACATGGGCAGTTTTGTGGCTCTCCCCGATGCACTCTTGGGTTGTACGCAGCGTTGTTCGGCAGCGTGTGGATTACATGCATTTAGCAGGCGTGACAGTGAAACGTGCTTTGCCTAATGGTGTTGAAAATGTGTGTGTGTGTGTACGTACACATGTGCAGTGTGTAATGCACTTGGAAGACCGGCTGCAGGAGCTGTACTCCAAGAGCAAGGTTCTGGCAGAGTATCTGCGTGGGCAGACACGAGTCCACGTCAAGGAGCTGAGTGCTGTGCTGGGGTGAGTCCTACGTCATGTGTGTTTATCCCCTCATCGTGCATCACAAAGACAAAGATCCTCCGTATTATAGCCTTAACAGACTGTTGGGACAAGTGTTGTTATCTAGCACCGGAATGGTACATGAGGCGGTGGGTGACCAACAGCACGCCCGATCGCCTTTGTCTTCCCAGTCGCAATGTTTACACAATGCACCATGTACTCATTTGAGGCTGAGTCGACCTAGCGGAGGCCCAGGACCAGTTCGGATAATCTTCACTCGTGTTGACCGTGAGCGGTAATCGAACCTGTGTCGCCAGATTCATAGCGCAGCGCACTAACCGCTGCATTACCGCTCCTGTGCATCACGGACACCTGTGCACGCGCAGAATAATGTTGCCATGTCCGATGTAATCAATGCCTTCATACTAAACTCTATTTCTAGTCCAATCTGGTGTTTGCTGCTACTCTCCGTTATGCATTTATTTCCATCAGTTATTGTTGAATATTTAAGTTTTTTTTAATGGCATGAAATCGTGTAATGAATTGATGTGCATAAGAAGTTTCATTTTACATTGCCCGCAGCGTTAACATTAACACTATCAACAGAGCGGTAAACAAAACTCCTGCGAACAGTTTTTTAAAATTATCAGTCGAAAATGTGATTTCAACATGAACCGCGAACGAGAAAGTTGCACAACACAAATGCTTAATTTGCTGTGAATATTGTTCCCCTCAGGATTGAAGCGAACGACTTGCCACTGCTTGCGGCCATCGCCAGCACGCACTCGCCGCATGTGGCCCAAATCTTGCTGTGAGCACCGCCGGTCGCCCAAGCCGCGTCTCGAGCCCCTAACAGGGCACTGCCATTCCCGTTCCAGAATGGCCCCAGCGTGTTCTGCATGCTGAGAAACCCAGCTGCAAGTTGATGTGCGGCAGTTGTTTTTGCTGCGTCCACCAGAACTTACAGCGTCCTCCAACGGATTGCTTGCTGACATTCGAGGTTTTCGAAACGCCCCGGGGGGCTTTTCCCGTTCTCACAAATGCACGAGGTGGACTCGCAAGGACGTTCATTGGAGCAGCCTCAAGATTTAGTAGCAGGGTTTGATTGACTGCCTTCATTTTTAGCACAAAGAACGGGGCCTTGCGGAACAATTGTTATGAACAAAACAAGATCTGTGTGCAAGATTGCTGTGTGGTCTTGCAACTCAGAAGACCTCCGTGACTGTTCAAACAAACGCTACGCTTTTGGATCTTCAGCAAAAAGATACCGTCCTAGGTTTGCACAAATTTCAGCTGGCACGCTATGACAAATTCTGAAGTTGCTTTTGGGAGTGCCTAACGGTCTTGGCAGATTTGTGTGGGCTTTTGAGAATCCAGAACACCTGCTACCCATTGTACTTTGATTTGCACTTGCTTAGTTGTGGACATGACTAAAGCCAATCCATTGTAAAGCCACACATTTACTTTACTTCTAAAAGCACTTTTAAAATCTATTTTTTGTTAACAAATGCAAAGATTACAATAACTCTTGTTTTCATACGACATAACACTGTAGATATACCATAAATAACCATGTCAAGTTTTAGGAACTATTTTATTTTACCAGGTAAGGCCCACTGAGCTACCACAAATGATTGGTCAACGAAGTGGCTTATCGTGTGTACATTTATAACAGCCAAATAATCTAAAAACATGTTTCTAAATGTGTAGGGAAAAACCGGAGGACCTGGAGAAATATCCACGTAACCACGGGAAGAACATGCAAACTCCAAATATACAGGCGTCAGGGTCGGGATCGAACCCATGACCTGTTTACCAGGCGAGGTAGTTAACATCTCGAAACACACTAAACTACCACACTGCAGGTCACAACACACGCACCAAACAACCACACTGTGCTCCCTCCTCTTTAAGGCATTGTGCAAAACACTTGGGGAAAAAGTACAAACAAAGAACTACTATTAATTTACAAAATTGGAAAAATTCTCAGGGGACGTGGCAGGTGATGATCCAGGGCTCGTGGGCAACCATGTCCTTCGCCAGACCTTGCAATACTGCACATCCTAGACGGCATTTGTTAACTGTACCGCCTGCTCCCACACAGGCCGCATTCCGGTCCTGGTCTTGGGGCTTGATGAGGCTGTCTTGCACTTGGTAGAAGGGGAGGAACGGCCGTTGCCTTCCAATTGGTCTGCTGAAGCGGCTCCAAGATCTTTTCCACAAGCTCTTTCTTCGTTTTGTTTCGACCACAACTTTCCATAGACAAGCAGCCCCCAGAAGGGATGGTGATCGCAAAGCAGATGAGCAGAAGGACGATGGTCCGGCGTAGGCGGCATGCAAAGGACCGCTGAAGGTGAATAGGTTCCAGGAACATCACATCTAATGTGTTCACTGTCTTCAGGTTCAGATCGAGCCCGCGCACTTTTACTCCAAAACCAGAACGATTGCCTCTAGTGCTTTATAAAACAGGTCGATTGTTGCTCCTTATTTCTAGCTCCTCTTTCACCTTTTCCATAGCTAATTCGGCTTGCTGCCCCCTTCAACTATCCCGCATAGTCACCTGCTCGAATGGCGAACAAGGAAACGGATCTTTCCACAGATCTCATCGTTTGTAAAGGAGACATTTGATCGCGCGTCAGCAGGTAGATGGCCATCCACATGATTAGCATGCTCAGGCCCATGCACAGCAGGTAGCATTTGACTCTAGTCGAACGAGTCCACCATCTTACCGCTGGCTGCCGCCGTCGTTTTCTTGGCCATCACTCCGCCTCTACGTTGTCTCAACGTGGAGGCAGTGACACGATAGCCAGTTGGACAGCAACTTGCTGGACACGTCTGCATAGCCCAAGGGGAGACGTGAGGGAAGCGGATGTACCTCGGTCTGTCGGTCTTTCGTGCTCATATCGGGAGTAGCGACCACAGTCGGATCTTGGTTATTCTTTAAGAAGGACGAGTAGCAGTCACAGTCCGTGTCTGAGGTTGCGACTGACCGGCCCACAGTGCTGCAGATATTGAAAGTTCGGGAAGGCTCCGGAAGGCGCGGCCGGGTTTGGCGGTAGGATAGCTTGACGGACTTCGCTTCGGTGGAATTAATTTTATTCCACAACAAGGCGTTTGGTGGATGTCTCGATGGGCATGGCCTTCAAGCCAAGTCCGATAGCTCGGCCATACCGATACTAGGCCCCGGAGCGTTTCAACAGAAGATGACGGAGGAGCGTGACAGAGGATGAAACCAAGTCACAACTTGTGATCCATTTGCTGTTTTGTATGTTTATATATACATACAAAAAGAGCCTGAAAATACGGCTGAGATTCTGCGTGTCAGCTTCTTGTTTTATTTGTACACTGAACATTGCAAGAACCGTTCCAAAGAGACATGCTTATTCATCGTGGTTAAAAGCCAGGATCCAAGTATGTGACACCGCTACTCGGTTCATATTTCAGCATCTGAATCCATTGTCAAATGCAGCAACTGTGTTGAGCACAAGGACACAGCCTGACAAACGTTTTGGAAAAGAAGCTAGAAACCTACCGTTCGCTTTTTTCCCCCTCTCCCATTGTTATTGTAATAAAATTGCATAGCTTACTCAACGTCGTTCGCGGACGACAATACCAACGCGACTGAACCATTTAAGAGAAGGCGGCGGCGGGGGGGGGTGATAAAAGATGAGGATCGGGGCCCGCTACTCCAGTCAAGTGGAACACCACGACGCGGGGAAGATGGACTTTTAGATGAGTGGGGGGAATTGGGGAAGTGTGGTGTGGGGGGGGTAAAACCAACTTGAGGGATATCCCAGGCAAGTAAAGGAGAGAGGAGGTGGGAGAAGGGGGCTGGGGATAACCCTAAAAAATTTAAAACATCCATGTGGCCATTGTGCGATAGTACTTTCCCTCCGCGAATCCGAGCTCCGCTCCCGCTCAAGTCCCTGAGGGGTTGGTATAACCCCTCTTTTCGATCCCTGTCCTCTCCCAGCTCCCCCCCCCCCCCCACGTTGGTCGAGCTCACTTGCACAAGGGGCGAGGACCATCTGGCCTCGAATTCCTTTCCCTTGAGATACGGTCCATCTGCGTTGAGATGTACTTTGTTCTCTGCCGTGTCAATATAAGGGTTCGTTCTTTCTCCCTGACGTTTTCAGCCAGTGCTTCCCATTGCTAATGTAAACAACAGTTGGGGGAGGCCGGGAACCCCGTCTCCTCCTTTCTCTGCCTCGTGAAACGCTACGGGACGCCAGTCCGTTCGCTACGGCGGCCGAAGCCGGTGGGGCTCGCTTATAGAAGTCAGCACGTGTCTGTGAATTGGCGAGGGGAATCCAAATTGGTCCATTTTACCCCGGGAGAGGAAGGTCCACTCGACCCTGTCAAACGCCTTGACTCCCATCCATCCATCCATCGTAAGGGGCCGTTTGCACGGGAGGTGATTTGTAGTGGCTATCTCAGTTGCGTTAACTAGGGTCTTAACATTTTCTGCGGAGGCCCCTGCTTTTGACGAACCCCGTCTGGGCTTCGCCGATGATCGTCGGGAGAGTCTCGAGTCTCCCCCGCCAAGATTAGGGCCAAGAACGCTCGCCTTTTAAGCGTTGAACAAATACATTGGAGCGTCCAACGCCGATTTGCCATCTGCATCCATGAACTCTGCGATTGCGACACCCTTTCAATAGTCAAACTTGTCATTTGGTTTTACTTCAATTTTATTTCCGTAATATACGCATGACAATGCTTTAAAACGTGGTTTTTTTTGTTAGACCATATAGACGCTATTCCAGTGTGAAAGGGCATTCAAGCAGATCACTGTCACACGTGAGAACTGTGGAGAAAATGGACTTCCAGTGGAAAAATCCACATCACTTCCTATGCAATTGGGTGAAGGCCGTACAGGCATCTTCGAAGCACCCGGTTGTTTTTACTTGTCCTCTTTTTTCGAGGAATGTCTGTTATAAACACTACAACAAAGATGTTGTGTACTATATTGTACATACTGCAGGCAGTTTTTAGTATGAGTGAAGATGATACCGTGTTGTGTACAGCTGTGGATGAAAATGTATTTCTGTTTGTGAGGAAAAAAACCCGTAAAAAAGCAAAAAGGCATGTGTTTTACCAAGAATATCATTCCCTATTAACGTTTAAGTGTGTGTGTGTGGACAAATTAAGGAATTGCAAAAAAACCGACGAGCTCTGTGTTTGTGCTACGTGCACTGTGATTGGTGTGTGTAAATAAATAACGTCAACAATAAACTGCGTGGTGTGTGATCTTAAACTGCAGTTCACAGCGGTAGCCCTGCAGTTTCTAATCAAACAAAAGGCTCAACTCGGACGATAAGCACCTTTGTTTTTGAGCCTTCTGATGTCATTTTAAAGCTTTGAATGAAAAATGAAATCAGTTTCAAGCTAATGTCTGGAACACTTTGGTAACATTTGTGGCATCACTTGCTCTCGTTTTTTTAAAGATCAACAACTGTGGTGACATCCATCACTCGGGTGCTATGGCGGCATGTTGAATTTTACATTTTAAGGCTTTTATCTCAAACTATTTAAATCCTCAAACAGAATTAATACTTCTCCTGGAGGAATCCGTTGAGCTATCAAGCTCTTTCACAGATGTCCAGTCGGGGCGGGTGCAAAGTACAAGAAAGGTAAACAAATCGACCCAAACGTATACAAATAAATATAAACCATCCCCCATCCTACCAGACAAAGCCCACTGAGGTATTAACTTGTTGTTCAAACGCGACCTGGCCACGAGTGACCGCTCAACAAAGTGGCTTATCATTTAGACATTTATAGCAGCAAAATAGTCTAAACGCATAAATTTCGATTTAAAGCTTTCGTGACTGCAGGGATTCATCTTCTTGGTTCTTTCGGTAAAGTCACGTAGAAGGGAAGTAGATGAGTCTAAACGCATGTTTCTAAATGTGGAGGGAAAAACCGGAGGACCCTGAGAAAAAATCCAGCCTAGATGTGTCGACATGACCACAGACACGACCATGTACACTGCTCCTGGCAGCTCCACACCTTGACAGCAAATCGTGAATTTAAATTCGAACACTGGGGATGAGAGTCCAACTCGCCACACTGCGAGTCCCGGATTTAGACTTTTAAGTACTGTGCCTCCCTTTGTGGAGAGATGGAACTTTCAAGGTGAAATGAGCCCTCGTCACTAGCAAGTGGGGCCCTTAGATCATCTCATAAAGATATTCCTTGGACGTTGTTAAGGAATATATTTTCGAGATCGAAACAAAATTTACTCCTTGGACCTTGTGGACACTCGTCGATTCTATCGCCTCGTTATTTCTCTTCTGCCGCCACCGGAATTGTCATGCGGGCCTTCATCAGGAGGAGGCCTGCAAGCTCCTCCGGCTCGAGGCTTTCCAACAGGTGCGCACCTCAACAGGGCGGGGGGGACTCCGCAACTCTCACTTCACTGTGGAGAAGAAGACTGTGAACATGTCACATGTTCTGACATCTCGCTTAGAATCGACTTTGAGATATTGTTTGGGTAACCATCGAACAAAGGCGGTCACTCGATCCGGAGCTTTGAGATGCGCTTCTGCGGCCGTCTGGAACGCTCTACTCTCCGATATTGGAAGCCACTGGAACTGAGCTTTTAAATCTAAATTGAAACCCCATTTCTTTAGAACTGCGTTTTGTGTTCAGTGTAACCTTCCCCCTCGCATCTCCAATGTAGCACGGTTGCCTACGTAGGTTCAACATAGATTTGTCAAGGATGTTTGGGACATTCTCGCACACAAACGCCACATAACCACGGATTAAGGGTCAAGGGTCACGGGGGCACTGCCGTGCACGACACGCAATCCGATGGTTGAGTGGAGGACACTGATCGGATTGGTGCGAAGAAGGATTCTAAAATGGTGGGGGAAACCCCAAGAAGGTGACTGGCGGAGACGGGCTATTAAAGGGAAACAGAGTTGGAGAATTCGGGGTTGGTTTTGGATAACGAGTGGAAGTGTGGTGTGAGTCGGCGTCGAAAATAGAGACCCTTTTTAACCAGCTCAATCCTCTTCACATTGTTGCTAACCTACTCAAAGGGCGTTGTACCAAACCTACCTTTGGGCCCTATCGCATCCCTGTGTTCCACCTTGCAGTCTGCCTTCCATGGAGCCGGGTCATCTGCATCTTGAGGATGGGAGACGTCGCTCCAAGGGGCGACCCCGGGGGAGGAGGGAGGCTTCTGCTGCGTGGCTGTCAATTCACCTCCACGTGGGTCCCCCACCTCCAGCCGCATCCGGGAGTCGGGGGCGCTGTCGATGTTCTAAAGTCACGACTCACTTGGGAGCACTTGGACCAATGATGGGGTGCAGTCTGTTTTCCCTAATTGTATTGTCATGTATATATTGGTTGCCTTGATTGATATTTGGAGGTTTTTTTTTCTCTCTCATATGACTTCGTGTGGGTCTTGTGTATAGTTGAACTTCTTTCGCACCGTACGTAGCCAACCGTGCTAATCGGAGGTGCGGGGGAAGGACCACAAACTAAACACACAAAAAGCAGTTTTAACGAAATGAGTTATAGATTTTTGTCCTTCTATCCGCCGTTCACTTTGTGATTTTGGATAACAACAAAAAAATTGCGGCAAAAATCTTTTCCCCAACTCGGCTTTTTCGAACGCGTGTGTTTCAGCTCCATACACCGTGTTTCGTCGACAAGTATTGCCCTGCGAGAGTGCTAAGTCTGTTGGAAGGTGTCACTGCATCGACCGCGAGAACGATTTTATTTAGCACGGACGGTTATTTTTTGTTGCGTGTTTTATGTAACACGCACAACAACGCACAACGGCACGTTCGCAAAATTGCCACATGGCATCTCGCCGTCCAGTCGTTGAGGACGTTTAGTCATAGGGACATCTGGATGGCGAATCATTGACGGTCAAATGACAGTGTCGGGGGTGAGCGTTTGTCGTGAGTGCCGCGGTGCAGGTGAAAAATAAAGAATGTACACACACAAGTAATGCAGAGTGAACCAGCATCCTTTGATACAATAACAAGGGCAGACATCTTGTATTATTTTTAGATAAAGAGGGAGGGATGATAATTTCGTACTCAGGAGCGCAACCCGAGTTTTCTCGTAAGCTCTATTATTTTTTTAATGCGGTTTTGCCCAACACGGCGATTTTCCAGGAACGTAACCCCCGCGTTCGGCGAGGTCTGCCTGTGCAATAAATATTAGTGAGAGTGCCTGGGTTATGTGCTGACGCTGTGGAACGAGTTCACTACGATTCGGAGCCGGGATGATCCTACTGCGGCAATAACCCTCGACCGCAAGCCGAGCAGCAAGCCAAAAAATATCGAGTGAGCAATTAAGCCATGTCTTTAACTCGAATGCTGTTTCTGGTGAGACTGGGCTTCATCGTCAGCCATGATCAATCCACTGCTCGATAAAGTCCTCCCCGAGCCGTCGACATTTTTCATGATGCTGCGAGACCATGATCCATCCAGTACCTGCACAACATTATTATCTCATTGCCCTTTCTCGCTTGGTCGACTTGCTCTCCCTTGCGTGCCATTCCTTGGCTGCCAACCTGCTATTCTTCTAAACCAAGTTGTTTTTAACCCGGGGGTGCGAGATGCACTTTCTCGGGGTGCGAGACACGGCCAGATTTTTAGTTTGAAGGTAAATCATCGAAACATAAATTTTGCACGGCACGTAAGTACAACCCACTTTGTTTAATCAAACCTATTAGCACGATAAAATGTTGAACCCATTGAGAAGCAAAGGGGGGTGCAAGGCTGCAGTAAAGGTGAAGAACCACTGCTTTGAACCGTTGTCCCATCACCCCTTCAAGTGTCGTGTCCTTTCCAAGCCCACTTTATTGTCTTCACCTTTTGGATGATGTCATCAACCCGAGTCCGTTCTCAATGAACCACGTGTGTTTCTACCTGTCAATGCTACGCCAAGCGTGCATGCTATGTTTGTTCTACGTCGTTTTCGTGAATGACCGCATTTCTGAGCCATGTCATAATACATAACTGGGTAGCATTATCCATAATACAGGCTTTTTTTGGGTTAGATCGCGTAAATATATAAATGTGTCGTTAAACCCGCCACCACCCGACACAGCCAACTAGTAAGGGTTGTCACGTAAACAGAACGTGCCAATTCGTCACGAGTACAGCACACCGGTGTGTTTGAGAACCAAGCCACGACATTTACAATCTGAGTACGACGTTTCGCCAGTAATTACAACTAGCTTCATCAGGCGACAGCCAGATTTGTGGATAAGTCCTCCTGTTTAGTTCCTTAAAGAGACGGGTAGATGTGGTGACACTTGTGAGCCCGTCTTGCGCCAAGTGTGGGGGGGGGGGGGTCATAAATGCATATAAAAGACGATGGGTACCCGTTGCCTTTTGTGTTATTTTTATGGCAATCAACGCACATTATGCATGTGCATTATGGAAGTCCATTGTTCTTGTACTTCCTGTCGATTGTGTGCACTAAAATAGCCGTAGCAACGGTAATCCCTATTGAGCGATGGTGACCTGTATAGGCATGCATTTAAACAATGTGTAATGGGTTCAATTGAGGCTTGGAGGCAACACTTTATTAACCAACGCAACAGATAACTGGGATGTTAACAGGACAACTACATAAGGTGGTGACTACCGTTCCTAACTTAATTAACACTTGAAGAGATAACTACACAACGGGGCCAGGAGAGTTTAACAGGCTGCCTGGTCCACAAGCGGAGATCGGAGACCGAGAACCCTGGGACGTCCATAAATGACGTCACGCAATTTTTAAACCCCCCCTAAAATATGACGTCACAAAGCTCTGCCCCCCCCCCCAAAATAAAACATGCTTCAAATCGCTAAATCGCTTTAAACTATTGTCATTGTAGTGCGTATTTAATGTGGCGCTGCACTCTGATGTTGTAGGAGAAAACATTTATTAAAAAGTCTATTTAACTAAGTAGAACGTGTTGTCTATATTTATTTAAAGTTGTGCATTTTTATGTGACGTCACATTTCTCACCCCCCCCCCCCCTCGTCACACATCGTCACAAATGTCTGACACCCCCCCCCCCCAGGTGCGTGACGTCATTTATGGACAGCCCGCGTCTTCATTCCCGGAGTTGAACAGCCCCGCGCCCCCTCTCGGGACGAGGCTTTTCGCTGCTGCGACTTGGCCGGCTCTGCCCTCGGCCACGCACCCTTCTAGATCCTTCGGGAAGGACCGGGTCCCTTACCACGTGACCCCCGGTCACGTGCTCTATCGGGTTC